CTGCCATACTTAACGTACTTAAAGCTGCTACACGTAACCTACGTAAAGCTGCTATACGTAACCTACGTAAAGCTGCTATACTTAACGTACTTAAGACTGCTACACGTAAACTACGTAAGGCTGCTATACGTAATTTACGTAAAGCTGCCATACTTAACGTACTTAAAGCTGCCACACTTAACGTACTTAAGGCTGCTACACGTAACCTACGTAAAGCTGCTATACGTAACTTACGTAAGGCTGCTATACTTAACGTACTTAAAGCTGCTACACGTAACCTACGTAAGGCTGCCACACCTAACGTACTTAAAGCTGCTACACGTAACTTACGTAAAGCTGCTATACGTAGCGTACGTAAAGCTATTACACGTAACTGACCCATAAACTATAATTTACGAATGAATTCTTCTTTTAACTACTACTACCGGTATTCTTAGCTAGCTAGCTAAAGTCGATATAAATATATTAATAATAATAAAAAAACTAAAGATATCGATAAAAAAGAATTCAATTAATTATTGCAATCAATTGTAAACAAATAAATACAAAAACTTAATAATACAAAAAAAGCAATTCAATAAATAAAATTAAAATCGCTAATTATAAAACCTAGCAAAAGCGATACTCTTTGCAATTAAACGCTTGATTTTAAAAGAAGCTTCTTTCCTTTTATTTTATATTAATCCCGCTTTATCATCTTCTTTTTCTTTTATTCGTTTGCGCTTTAAAGTTAATAATAGATTTGTAATTCGTTCGCTTATAAAAGTATTAGATTTAAAGTCGTTAAACTTATATATAATAATTGACTTACTTTGACTTTAAATAACGATTAAAAGAGTTTTAAGTTTCGAAATACTAAGTTTCAAAGTTTAAGCGGCATTTAAAGTTCTATAAGATAGCGAAGCCGAGTCTAGTATTCTATCAGCTTCCTTTCTACTTATTATCTTTTTATCACTTTGCTTAAAGCTTAATATTTCTTCCGCGTTAAAATAATTTTATTAAGAAATATTATTCGAATCGTTTTAATCGCATAAATTTGCTATCGCTAATATTTAAGTTAGAATTTATATTTAAATAAAAGCGTATATTATATAATATCGTACTTCGCTGCACTTTATTTTTATAATTTATATAACGTTTAAAGCTAATCGATTCGTTCGTACCGTTCGAATTTGAATTTTCTAAATCGTTTTCGTTTTCTATATCATTAAGAACGTTTTAATTTATATTATCTTGAGTTTGCTTATCGAAAAGTAAATCCGTAGTTACTTTCGATTAATTTACTTTGCTTGGTCTTCTTTGTAAAGAATATAATCGATTTGCTACGACTTTGCTTTAAAAAGCGGAAGAATACGCTTTGTATAATCTTATATAATAGTTAATAAATCGATTAATAAATCGATTAATAAATCGATTAGTAAATCGATAAAAAATAAAAATATCGCAAGTAAATTAACTTACTTTTTAAATGCCCTTCGTAATTTAAAGACTTTCCGTACCGTAGCTATCGCATTTTAAACGAAACATCTTTATTAATATCTTGAAACTTATCTAAGTTCTTTTTTATTCAATATAATCAATAAATATTTATAAAATTAATATTATTTAAACTTACGTAATTCTTGTGACGACCTTAAGCGATTACCTGAAGGAACTCACGGGAGCGCGGGGGTTCATATAAGAGCTTAGGAGAATCTTAAAGTAATGACTTAGAATCAACAACTACCGAGTGTAAAGGTCGAAAGTAGCTGAGGTCTATATATACGAAAGTAAAAGCGCTAAGGACTCGTGAACTATAGTTTATAAGTCAAAAGCGGGGAATAAGAGAATACGAAGAATACGAAGGAAAAAAAAAAGAAGTAGCTTAGCGCATGTAAAGTGCGTCCAAGAGACTTAGCGTGTCGTCACACTACCTTCCCGTCCGAAAAAAGCTCGTCCTCGAGCGTCTATCTATTGCTTTATTACTACTTAAGTGATCGTAATCATCAACACCGTTCGAATAAGCCTTGATCTAGTCGAAGAGCTTCGCGAGAGGGCCGAAGAGCTCCTTATGTTCCAAATAGAAGTCACGTACTTTGAAAGGAGCGTACATAAAGTCGGAGGCGGGATACCAAGTAAGGTCAATGTCGCGGCCGAGCTAAGAAGCGCAGTACTCAAAGTGCTTCTTGGTTTAGCGTACGGCTAAGATGTTCTTTACTTCGTACTCAAGTTCGCTAGTGATATTAATCGGGTCAGGTTCAAGAATGATTTGCTCGAAAGTAGGGTTATTAAGAGCTTTTCGTAGCCGTTCGGAGTAGAAGACTAGGTGAACCTTCATTGACTCGAAGAGCTTGAGTTTGAAGCTGCTATAAACGTTGTCGGTAACCTCGAACGGTCCGTTCGTCGAGTTATCGAGCTTCTTTAACGGTCGAGAGGTAAAGAACGGGCGCATGTCCAACCAAACCTTATCATTAACGTCGAAGTCAACCGAGCGCCTTGATTTATTAGCTTGTTTAGCTATGCGGTCTTAAGCGCGTTAGAAGTGCTTTCTAGCGAAGTTCCAAGCTTCGAAGTGGCGGTTAGCGTAAGCGCGAGTTTCGTCTTGGTTAAGCTTGCGAAAAGGGGTTTGGTCGTCAGGTCGTTCCAAGCTCCAATTCTAAGTGGTCCGAAGGGCGTAGCCGTGAATTACCTCAAAGAGGGAAAGACCGCCGAGGGAGTCGTAAAGGAGCGTCAATTGGGCGAAGTCCATTATAAGAAGGAACTCACTCCAATCGTCTTAGTAGTAGTTCACGAAAAGACGGAGGCGCTTTTGCAAGTACTAGTTGTAGATTTCGGTCTGACCGTTAGTCTCAAGGTGTGCGGCGGTACTGAAGGTCAGTTTGGTGCCGAAGATCTTGTTGAATTCTTTCCAGAACTCGGACCAGTATTAAGGTCTTCTATCAGAAGTCAGTGTCAAAGGAGCTTTAAAATACTTATAGATATAGTAGATATAAAGCTTGGCGAAGCCTCTAGCATCGATAGACTTATGACAAAGGATCGAGATTGCTTGCTTAAAGAAGCGGTCGATTACTATAAGGACGTTGTCGTAACTGTGTTTGTCTTTATTGAAGTTACAAAAATCCATAATGACGTGCTCTTAAGAGCGCGAAAGGATCGGGAGAGGTTAAAGCAAACCAGGTTTCTTATCGCGAAGCACTAAAGCTCGTCTGCAAGCGTGGCAGTTACGGCAATACTAGTTGACGAATCTAGCTATACCGTGCTAGTAGTACTATGCTGCAAAGAGCTTGTAGGTTTTGCGAGAGCTAAGGTATGCCGTAAATACCTGGTCGTAGACTTCTCGGACGAATAACGAGCGCAAGTTTTAGACGTCGGGAACTAATAAGCGGCCGTCATAGAGCAGCAAGTCGCCTTCTATAGTGAGTTTAGCCCGTGAACCGTGGTTCACGGGTGAAGACTCAGCTCTAAAAGCTTGAATTCGAAGTGCTATGAAACTAAAGGCGGTCCGATTGGCTTCTAAGACTTGGTTAATAACTCGGAATGTCGGTAAGAGCTCCGCGATCTCTTCGATAGTGACGGCGGTCTCCGAAGGCGTAAGTTAGCGTAGCTCTTCGGTCAAGAGTCGTAAGTCAACGTTGTCGGCGCGGAGCAGCGTTTGCAAGCGTTGGGTGCGCTTAAAGCTGTTCTAAGAAGGTAGCTCTTCGGTGCGGCGTATCAGCGCGTTAGCCAAAGGGTTGTCTTTACCTGGTCTATACGTGATGATGAAGTTGTAGTCGGAGAGGAGCTCTGCCCAGCGTGCTTAACGAGCGTTAAAGGTCTTAAAGGTCATGAAGTACTCCAAGGCCTTATAATCGGTGATTACCTGAACTTAGTAAAAGGAGCCGGCGAGTTCGGCGCGAAAGTTACCAAAAGAGCGTATAATAGCCAGTATCTCTTTATCGTAAACGACGTAGTTGAGCTCAGCGAGAGCCATGGTTTTGAAGTAATAAGCGACTAGTAGCCAGTCGGAACCATGCTTTTAAGAAAGGACTAAGGCGACTACGCCGTCGGAAGCGTCAGTCTCTAGCATATAAAAGAGGTCTTGGTTGTAATGCTGTAAGATTGGCGTTGTAATTAAAGCGAGCTTCAAAAGGCCGAAGCTTCTCTGACACTAAGAATTGAATGAAAAAGGAACGTTAACCTTAGTCAAGTATACTAAAGGCTTTGCGATCACGCCGTAGTCTCGAATGAATCGGCGGTAGAAGTTACAAAATCCAAAGAAGCTTTAGACGCTTTTAACGGTCGTAAAGGGCGCCCAATGCTCTACTATCGACGTCTTGTCCGGATCTACTTTTAAGCCTTCGATAGAAATGATAAAGCTTAAGTATTTTACCTTAATAGTGCTGAATTCGCATTTTTTGATGTCAGCTTAAAGGCCAGCGTCGTCGAGTCGTTAAAGAACTTAGCGAACGTAATAAGCGTGCTCCAAAAGGTCGGAGGAGTAGATCAAGATGTCGTCTAAATATGCCGTGCAAAAGATATTTAAGAAGTCGAAAAGGAGGTCATTCATATAGCGTTAATAAGTGGCGGGTCTATTAGTCAGTCCGAATAAAAGAACTTTGCACTTGTAAGCACCGTAGCGTGTTCTGAATGTTGTAAGCTCTTTTAAAGCTGGGTCTATTCGTATTCTGTAAAAAGCTTGCCGAATATCGAGTTTCGTAAAGATTTTAGCTCTCGAGAAACGTGCGAGGGTCTCATCGATCAAAAAGAAAAGGTATCGATCTTTACGAGTGAAGTTGTTTAACGCGCGGAAGTCAATACAAAAGCGGAAGGAGCCGTCTTGCTTCTTAGCAAACAAGACTAGAGCTGCAAATAGCGCTGTTAAAAGTTCGATAAAACCTTTATTAAGATTGTCGATAAAGTAGGCTTTAATGAGCTCTAGCTTAAGGATCGACATCTTGTACAATAGTGAGTACCGAAGCGCCTTCTCCCCCCTCTCGAGAAGCTCGATTTTGTAGTCGTAAGGCCTGTATAGTGCTAGCACGTTGCTAGCGGCCTTAGAGAACACGTATGCGTAATCGGAGTATTCGGGAAAGATAAGGGGGTCGTCAGTAAGCTCTAACAGTTCCGCTGCAAAGTCAATAGCAAAGATGGAGCCGTTAGTAAAGCGTGTCAGCGCTGCTTGGTGGTCAGCCTGAGTAAAAGCAATCGTCTAACGCTCGGAGATTAAGCAATCGAGCTCGTAAAGAGACGTAGAAAACAATTCTACGTCCTTTTAGCGAGCGATCATATAAAAAGCGTGTCCGGAGACGCCGTTGATTTTGAAGTTTCTATTGATTTTGTGCTTAGATGTTTAGCGGGAGCGTTTAACGGGTAAAAGAGGTTCTACGGAGGCGATGTCGGTTGACACAAGCTCACGGTTCATCTGAGACATTGATTTAGCGTAGTCCTTAGAAAAGGTGTTTTTCGTAAAGCGAAGGAGTGACGGCTTTACGAAAAGGTGAATAGAAGAAAAGGGTTCAACGATCTTGAAAGAAGAAACGAAGGGAAGACGATTCCGAGGAGAAGGAAGACGATTTTAAAGAGAAGGAGGTGATTCAGCGACTATTATTGCTGCCTGATCCGCCCGTGAACTATGGTTCACGAGTGAATTAGCGTCGTAAGCTCTCTAAAGGCGGTCTAAGGCTCGATCACGCCTGTTAGCGTCGTGTTAGTGACGAGCGTTTACCTTACGCTAATTAAAGTATGTAATCTCAATAGGTTTAGCGTAAGTGGCGGTCGGAGGGTTAGAACGAGGCTAATAGAGCTTGCGGCGAGCGCAATCAAAGAGAATCTAGTATTCAGCTAGCTATGCTCGTCCGAGGATCACGCTGTGATTTCCAAGGTTAATGATAAGAAAAGGAGTAAAAGATTAAACGCGCTTGTTAATCGTAAGGTTGAGAAGTGCAAAATGTAAGATAGTAGCTCCACGAGCTCCATTATATGATTTGACAAAGAATAGGGCCGGAAAGGGTTGGATCAAAGGTTTAAGAAAAAAAGAAAGTGATTTGAGTAGCGCTGAGTCAATCAGCGCGTACCCATTAGCTCCTGAGTCGAGCAAAGCAGATACCTTGTACGAAAGGCCATTCTTAGTAAGGGTGACGGGTATAATCATAGCTTTACTACCAAGGAGCTTCGTAAGGTCGAGGTATCGCATATCTCGAAGCTGGCCTAAGAAAGAGGCTTTGCTTAAGCCTCGACGTTTCCCCTATTGTCGAGAGCGTCGGAGTTAGCAAAAGGGAGCTCCTGGTGATCCTTAAGAGCGTCGGAGTAAGGCCTATCGTCCGAGTCATCCGAATAAAGGCCGTATTCGGGTCCAGCGCCGTATTCTATCTCGTTGACTGAGTGGTGGCGGAAGAGCTTCGGCGTATTCGGGTCCTTGCGGGACGATCCAAGGGTTTTGATCGCTAACCTAAGGGCGTTTCCGAAAGAAAAGAATTTATTAGATCGATTAGATCGATCTGCATCAGCGCCAAAGCTATTAAAGGTTTAGCGCTGAAAGGTAAAGAAGGAGACGGAAGCTAAGCTACTTTGGCGGTTCTCGTAATAAGTGATTTGCTTGACCGCTGCTCTTTAAGCCGAGCGGGATTCGTTACGAGCTCTATTATAAGAGCTCTTCGCGAATTGAGCGTTATACTTGGCCTGTAGAGCATCGTAGAGCCTTGCAGACGCGTATTGGCCAGCAGCCAACTGCTGGACGGCGGTCTAAAAGTCTTTGAAAGTTGTAATCTTAGCAAATTCCAAATAAAGCTGGTCGCGCAGCGTTTTAATAATCTTAGAACGCAAAGCCTCACGTAATCGGTCTTCGTCCTTGATCTCGGCGGTAGCGGCAAGCTCCGAGAAAACAAAGTAGAAGTCCTAAAATTGCTAGTTAAGCCTTATATAGAGTTTTTCGAACTCAATTAACGCTTTAGCCTTTTTAGCGAAGTCGTTCAAGAACTCGAAAGCGATCTAAACGAGTTCCGGAGCGGTTACGAAGTTGTTACGATCTATGACCAAAAGGGCTAAGAACAAGTGAGCTGTTCTTTCGGTTTAATCAAAGACGTAGTTCTTGCGTTAGCGTTCTATGAAGAAGTATTCTTCAAAAGCTTCTAAGTTGTCGAAGACGCGGGCTTGCCAGTAGCGTGCTCGGTAGCTTACACCGTCTAAGAGCTTCTATTCAAAGTTAAGGATCCGCTCGATACGAGCGCGACCTTAAGAAGCTGAAAAGGAGGCTCTAAGGGTGTTGAACCTAGCTAGAGTGCGAAGGTTGGTTGGCCTGTGAAGAGAAAGTGGTTCATCGTCGTCGGCGAAGAGGCGGCGAAGGTTGACGGTTCTATAAGTAAAGGGAATAGCTTGGGAGACCGAGGGCCTGTATGGCTCCTTGCCTTTAGAATTATCTTCGAAAGACACTTAAAGAGGCTCTGACGAGCGTTCCGTAGTTAGCAGGACCGCCTAAAGCTGGTCCAGTTCCTTTCGAGCTCGACGGGCCTCTTTTTCAGCCCTTTCAGCGAAGGTTTTTTGCTCATTAGCGCTCTTATCGAGCTCCTCGTTGCGGGTTTTCATGTCTGCGAAGAGCTTCCTGAGCTCAGCGGCCTTTCGTTAGGACTAGAAGAGAGCTTGGTGTTAAGCCAAAGCTTCCTCGAGGTTAATAAAGGCCGAGGGATCATCTTCATCGTTTTGCTCACTAATAGCTTCTTTTTAAGTAGAAGGAACTGCTGGTTAGGCCGTAAAGGAAGAGGAGGAAGCTGCTAAAGCAGCTTTAAGAGGTGTGCGAAAGATTTTGCCCGCGGAGCGAAGGTTGCTGTGTTATATAAGTGCTATCCTTCAAGTTATACTTGGAATAAGCCTTCTCGTAACCGTTAGAGTCGTTTAAGTGTTTTGACGTCCAACTACTAAAGAATTCTAAAAAAAAGGAATATTATTGAAGCCGTTCCCGGCGGAGTGAAGTAGTTGTTGATAATGTGACGACTTTAAGCGATTACTTAAAGGAACTCACGGGAGCGCGAAGGTTTATATAAGAGCTCAAGAGAATCTTAAAGTAATAACTTAGAATCAACAACTACCGAGTGTAAAGGTCGAAGGTAGCTGAGGTCTATATACACGAAGGTAGAAGCGCCAAAGACTCGTGAACCATGGTTCATGGGTCAAAAGCGGAGAATAAGAGAATACGAAGAATACGAAGGAAAAAAGGAAGGAAGTAGCTTGGCGCATGTGAGGTGCGTCCAGGAGACCTGGCGTGTCGTCACAATTCTCGCACTTTAGCTTTTAATATTATC